TTCAGCAGGGTATTTGTCATGCAAAAACCAAAGAACATTATTGGTGACTTAACAAGATTACATATTTATGTTTTACAACTTACATAATGTAAACTAGGGATGTGCACTTTGTTATCAGCCCCATTGTACCCCATCTTGAAAGCAGACTGGCCATTATGAGGTTGAAGAAGAGGTGGACAAATGATAGCCTTTGGGGAAAATGTAACCACTGTCTGCTTTTGCAAAAAGATGATAGATTATAGATAGATGGATAGATAGATAGATAGATAGATAGATAGATAGATAGAAAGATAGACAGATAGCTAGACAGAGCGACCAAGAGCTATGCTTATTTGTTTGTATGGCTTTCACACTTCAATGACAGTGTGAGTCGTTGTGAAAGACACTGTCCTAAGTCTTACATGTTTACTATCTGGCTCTTTACAGAAACAGCTTTCTAACACTGCTCTGTGTATCTTATCACTTTATATGGAACTGCTGAAAATGTGACTCTCAGCCGTCTTTATAGCTATGACTATAGTAATAAGCTATATCTATCAGCAGACACAACTGAATATTTGTGTAATTTGGTGACTACTAGAGAAGTCAGTCAGTGCTGAAGTCACCTAGTTATTTTTATTTATTTTTTGATAGTATTGGGGTTTGAACTTAGGACATTACGCTTACTAGTCAGGCACTCTACCACTTGAGCCACGCTCCCAGCCCTTACCCAGTTATTTTTATTTCTGCTACTTGAACTAAACATGAATTCTGGAGAGAATATTCTGGAAGCTGGCTGTACGTTATACTGAGGGCAAAGATCCAGGGAATGTAAAGGGCATTGTCAACTCACCTGATTCTACCCCTGGGGCGCTCAGATTGCTCTGACATAAAGCTTGTGCTGCTGAGGCGTGAGGCACTGCTGGTTCGGGAAATGGCGGACATGTCACTGACATCACTATCTGACGATTTGGTAGAGACGTTATCACAGCTTCTGTACTGATCTTTATGTATGTTATACTAAAGATTAAAAACAAGAAAGGATGAGCTCCATCATCGGATTATGGGGGGAAAAACACAGATGTGAGGTTAGTGACTACTTAAACTGCCACAAAGTGAACCTCTGTAAAAGTAGGTGTAGAATCTAAGATAATCCAAACATTAATATAGTATATTATTTACAATATAAAAATCTTGATAAGAATGGCTTATGAAGACTGAACACACAATTTAATTGCCTGGATGGAAAATTCATTGGATTATTTGTATATGCTTAAGGTATGAAATTGTATTTGTCATTTTTTTGTAGTACATAAGTTCCTCATTTTTTTCTTTTGCTTTTACTACAGCCTGATTAACTCATTTTCAACTCTTTTCATGGTAGAGACTGCTTCTACATATCTGTACTTGTTCATTGTTTCTAAAACTGTTCCATTTACCCAAATTCTTTATTCTAACACATCATACTCTATCTCTTGGATTGCTTCAAAAACTTTATCCTCACCAAGAGAAGGCCAACATGGAAACCGAGCTGAGGTGCTGGGACCAAGCTGAGTAAAGCAGCAGAGGCAATGAGTGGATTTCGCTTCATTTCTGTTACGGTTTTTTAGACATTTTTAGATTTAAACTAGTAACCCAGTGTCAAAAGTAAAATATGGTGTTCTTATTAATATTGCAATATATACTTAATACTTAAATGTCTTTAAACTTGTCCTTTATTTATTCATTTTCTGAGATTTTAGGAATGATCAGATAAAATGTGAGAACACACAAACTCATCAAGGGGGTTTGTCTACTCTCTTCTGTCTACTTCACCATCTTACTGCAAGGACCACACAGTAAATAACTTGCATACTCTATATGTGCTATAGTGATAATAGCAAAGTTATTTAATTGTGGCTAATTTAAAAATAATTAAGTATTTCTCTTATCTGAGGTACTGGAAAGATAGTACAACTTTTTATATAAAATAAAAGAAAACATAACCAAATATAATTAAACCCTTGGCTGGTAAGTTTACCAACAACCAATTCACATTTAGACTTACGAGTAAAAAAGGTATGAAAATCTCAATTATTCACTAAGCCCTCATAAAAAGTAATCTATCCTCTAGTAGTACTTATCAGAGTTAATAATATACAGTCTCTTGCTAAAATATACTACTTAAGACAAAACTAAAAATTGAACCCTTACATACAAAAAAATAAAATAATATTTAAAAAAATAGATTTTCTTCCTAATCCCTTATGTAAGAGTAGTTTGGTCCTAAAACACTTAAAGATTAGCTTTAATTCTTTACCTTTCATCTATATATTAGAGAATTTTATACCAATTCCAAGGTTATGGAATATTTATAAAATTAATTTCCCAAAGGATTTATCATAACTATCACTGAAAACCATATGCTAACATAGAAGAATATGCCCAGAACTGACTTAACTACACAATTTCATGTTTGCTGTAAAATGAATTACTTAATGTGTTGGAAGTAATGAGATAATTCTGTTTAAAAACAAACTGTCATATCAGATACAGTGATCCTGACTAACGTGACTCATTCCATCAGGAACTGTTCTTAAGTATACAGATACGTGGTAAAAATTTAATAGGATCATAGATTAGAACTTGAGTTTAACACTTGCTAGGGTGCAAACACAATTATATTACTGTTTTTTAAAAACTACTGTGATACAATAGATATACTATGGTGATATTTATAATGTTTCTGAATGTATTGTAGTGATAGCTTGTCCAAGAAAACAGGAAATAATTGGGGTTTAATACTGGAAGATTATCCATCTGTAGGAGATTTTCTGGTTTTGCACTGGCACCCAGAACAAATGCTTCCCTTATTTCAGGACTGTCAATATTAAGCAATGTAGCTAGCGTAAGGATATATAAGTATAAATGAAAATATTTCTTCAACTAATGAAATCTTCCTTTTCTAAAACCCATTGCTTTTCCAACTTGATTTTATATATAGGCTTTGCTATTCCAGCACACAAATGAAATAAAAAATGTCAAAATAAAATTTTCCATAATGGCATCCCATATCTTCTGATGTTGATCATCCTGATACAAAATCATAGTTTTCTTCACTTTGACTATTTGAAGGGAATGAAATAGTTACTATTTATTAGTTACCTTTTTCTACTATATTTACTCTTTAAGAAAAGCATGATGAAATTTCAATAATCACTTTGATTTTCTATTAAGCATGATTTATTGAATTTCCTATTTAACAATTGGATATTTTAGTGGAGTTATGTGTTGAGGGAGATGATATACTCAGAAGGAATTTATACTGACCAGAAAGAAGGAAGTATGTTATCAATGGGAGAGGAGGCTAATCGCAGGGCTGCTGTTTTTAGAACTAACAGTAAACATTCCGCAGCACCTACAAAGTCCATCATGTCAGTCTCATTTGCTGCCTCTGTTACAGAAACATCTCACTCTTACAATGTGAGGCCTAAATGTGAATTTCCCTTCAACTAGGAGTCTCAGCCGGTCACTGAGGTGTGTGACTCTGAACGACATCAACGAAAAAATAGCACTGTGACACATTTCAAGGATACCAAAGCCATTCTGTAGTTTTGTGTCTTTCAAAAGCAAAGTCAGTATTAGTTCCTTACTCAGGGTGGATGTTAGGGTTATTTACTCTTTTAAAACAAGTAACAAGTTTCAAAAAAAAAGCAGAAATTGTATTCATCTGATAATTATTTTTCCCTGAAAAAATACAGCCGTAGTGGTATTTAGTTAAATGCATTTTGAGAGTGGTTACCAATTTCTATTTGGCAGAATTTTCAACAATGGTGTATTGATTCATCAAAAGTGTCAAGTGCAGGGAGGTGGGTCACAGTTCAAGGCCAGCCCAGGTCTCAAAGAAACAAGCAGGCACGGTGGTCGATGCCAGTGACCCCAACCATGTGGAGGTGGAGGCAGGCTCCCAGCCCGAGGCTGGCCCTGGCAAAAGCTTAAGACGCTGTTTGAGAAATTACTGAAGCAAAAGCACCTGGAGTGTGGCTCAAGCAACCAGAGCAAGGACTTGAGGTCAAATTACAGCACTGCAAAAAGAAAAAACAAGTGTAGTTCCTGAGACTAGTAAAAAAGAGTCAATTAAGAAACAAAGTTAAAATTTCTAAATATAACTTATATGTATGACTAATAAAAAGAGATCTTTGCAAAATACATAAATTATTGGTGTAAAAGGACAATAAATAAAAAGTATGCAACACAAGTTTAAAGTAGCTAAAAAGGCCATTATTTTTAAAATTCTGTTAGTAGGTACAACTGTATGTATGAATTTCATATAAATTTAATAAAAAAACTTCTATTGGAAGCATTAGTCCATAATATAAAGGTCAGCATTGAGGAGCATAGACACCTTTTACTTGATAAACAAAATAAAACAAAAATAGGCTAATTACATATTTTATCTTACATAGTTCCTCTCTTATATTCTTTAAAGTTTTTAAAGCTGCCATATCTTAGATTTCTCCTTTGTTGGTATTACCAGCTATACTAATGGATTTTTAAAATGCCCAACTGCAATGGAAGAAAGGGCAAGGGTGCTGAGAAGAGAGCATGCAGGTGTACATCTAAAGCCATGTGAGAGCCTCTGGGTCAGGCTGCAGTGCATTTCAATGACACGCAATGCAGAACAAAGTGGAGCACGAGTGGCAGGTCAACTCTACAGCGTGGCATTACTAATTTTGATACATTACTTCCTTTCCTATGAGCTTCAGTGGTCATAGTTTTGGTAAATAAGTAAGATGCAGTAAAGATTTTGAAGTCTTTTCAAATTCTAAATTGCTGTGAGCCAGAGGATTTGGTATCTCTCTGACAAGGCAAGACTGCTTTTAAGTTACCATGCCTTATGGACAATGGTGGTTGAGAGCTCTAGAGCATTTCATTATATAGAGTTTTTGATTGACTGATTAGTGAGTAGAGTCTTCGTTTGTAATGCTACCAAAAGGCTTTCAATATTTCACCCTGGCTCTTTCTTAAAAATATTTTTAGCATATATTACTTGTTTGGAGGAGTGCTGGCTCACTGTGACATTTCCATAAGTACTTATGTTGCTACTCTTTTCTTGTTTCCCATTTTGGCCCATGTCCCTATTTTATTTCAAGTTTCAACATAAGGCTAAGAAATCCATAAGATGTTTCTGACTTATTTCCAGTTTAAAGAAATTTCAAACGACTGCATCTAAAAGCAAAGTAAAAAATGTCAGTAACCCTGTCTTCTAGTACCTACTGCATCTGTAGTAAAAGAAAACAAGAGATGATGGTATTTGTGGAGAAGACAGACAAGTAGGCTGGAAATACCAGAAGGAACAAGCTGCAGAGAAGGCATACAGAGCTGGCCACTCCATGACAGGTGAACAGGCTTTGCTTAACAATTTTCTTTTTGTTTTCCAGATTTTGCTTTGTAAAAAGTGGCTGGTAAAACTTTGGGAGCTGGCACCCCTGAACAGCAGTGCCATTCTGCCCTGTCTCAGTTGGAAAGCTTCTCCATCTAAATTGAAGTGTAGTCTGACGGTCTGTATCTGACATGAATGATCCCAGGGCAGTATGGGTAGAAAATTGTACTTTGTACCTTCTCTAATTTTTGTATTAGTAACTGAATATCTGTCTCTATAGTGAACAACCTTCATTCTTTCAAAAAACAAGTTTTTCTGGGCCACAATGTAGGTTAATTATATTGATTTAATGTGGTTTTAATTATATGGATTTCTAATAGGTCATTACTTCCAACAAAGGTTGGCCTGAAATGACTGCTGCTACTTTTGTAGTATTTTAAAAAGATTTAAAAATACACCAGATAAAAGATAAAATTATTTCATTCTGCAGCATTTTAATTAAACTTATGAGATATTAGCAGTACATAAAATTCTTAGTGTTTTCTTAGAAAACACTGAAATACAAAGTAATGCTTACAGACACTTGAAATTGTGTATTTCAGCTTTTAAGAGTTTGAAATCAGTTACTTTTCTTACCAAAGACAGATAAATAAGAAATCCCAAATCATAGGATTTTTGTCATTTACTAACAGGCCTCAATAGTCAGCACCAATCCAAAATAATATTTAAGACTACCAATATGTATCTTAATATTTTAAATGCAACATTTAAGTGATATTCAAGCAACAAAAGAGCGTCATCTACCTTATTTCTGTAAATGTGACTAAACAACCAATCATTAAGTGACATTGATATCAACTATTTATATATTTTCTTTTTTGAAGAAAATTAAATACATCATATTCAAATGGTTATATCTTGTGAAAATATCACAACCTGGGAAGGTTTTTTCAAGCTTTGGTAGAAATTATGAAGCAAGATTAGTATTTAATGATACCTTCCTCTACATAACTCAGGGCTTGCTAATCCTGCCTGACACACACTGCATGTTTCTACAAGGGAAACTATTGGTTGCATACTACTAATTTTACCTTGGAATATTGCTCGCGATCAAGTTCTTGACTAGAACCAGACCCTGTTGTCTGCTTAAATCGGTGCACTTTCATTTTCATCTGTCTTGTGCGCTCCTCCACTACTAAGCTTGCTGCAAAAACACACAATGGAAGCCTATTAACACACGTGAAGCATCTTTCCGAACTGATGGTTTCAGATTTTAATGCTTTCGAAATGAGTTCAAAGAAATGAATTTTAGAAATAACACATGATTAATAAATTAAACAAAATGCCAAATATATAATGCTAGTTCTGTTAATCTAAAGATGAACATGATTCAAACTACATAGAATGGGGAAACACAAATGTTAGTAACAAAAGATAAGTACCCTATTTCTCTAATATGAAATATTTTTAATTTTCTTCATAACTCATTATGTAAACCAAATTTAATTATGAAAATGTGTTTTCAATTTAAACAACTGGTTGTTGCATGTACATATAGAAAATGAGTCTGCATACTTAACACAGCACACATATATGCACATGCTTACAAGCATGCACACACACAGCATCCTCAGCTAAGTACAAGTCATCTAAAAGCTGTTTGCTTGATAATTATCTCCTTTTTGGAGAATTTTTTAATTAAATCATGAATTTCTACCAGTAGCTTCTTATGAACATTTGCCAAAAAATGGACTTGCTTAAATAAAAGACTGACTTTCTGTTTCTGATGGCTATGTGAGAGCCACATACATAAAACTCCTAAGTTTTGAAAATGAGGTATCCTCTTTTAGCTCTTTAATTTGTAATATGTAATATGATAAGCCTTTATTAACCTTCTAAACAGAAAGTATGACTGCTTAGAAGACCATAATTGCTTCAATAAAATGACTTATTTCAAATCAGAATTCATCATAAACCCAACTTCAAAACTTTTTAAATTTTACAGTCTATAAGCAACAGGTTAAAGAGCTAAGGGTATAGTTGTGTGCAGTGTAAACTATTCAAAATCTTATACCTATGCTGAATGAGATCTAAGTTTATTTTTTACAATTTATCTTTTGTCAATTTGCTAGAATACTCAACCTCCAAAGAAAGTGTTAAGATTTATTTTTAAAGCGTGAGTGCGCGTGTGTGCACATGTGTGTGTGTGCACGTGTGTGTTTGTGTGTACACATAAACATATGGAAAATGTCTGGTGAAATATATGATGAGGTTTCTGCCATGGGACACTATTGGTTTAAAAGTTAACGGGAATATCAATGTATCTGATTAACCTGACTGCTGATTTCATCTCTTACAAGGAATTTATACTCATTTGCTAACAAATTTTTCTGTTGCAATGCATAATTGTAAACTATCATAAGCAACATTTATACCCACATTAAAAATTAAGTAAATAAGTGTAATTTACTGGGTGTTCTTGTACAAAGCCCTAATCTAAGAGACAAATACATTAATTGCATAGCATCTTCAATTTGTGCCTAAGTGTTTTAATTGCACTTTTAATCATACTAGCACCAAATTATTTAATATTTCACATTGCTAAATTCAGTAAGTTAGAATAGACAAAGTTAATCTCCAACAGCACAATTATGTGAATTAAAGCAATGATACACACTTGATTTGAAAATGTTGACTGAAGCAACAGTAACTGCTGACAGTCATTACAATAGAAAGACGGTTCAACAGAAAGCTTGAGAAAAGTAGTTCAGAAATTTATTCATTACTTGACAACATATAAGGAGTCAAAGAGAATATTATAAAGCAAAATGTTACCTGACAGTAACCAGGACTTGAAACTAAGTTATTGGAAAGTGTGAGTTATATTTGCAGAAAGTCATATGCAAGATCGAAAATGTGCAACTATCTGCTTATGGCATGAGGACCTCTGGGTTTGCACTCAGTCATTTGCTCTAAGTATTGAAGAAGTCAAATGAACTGTAATCAGTTATACTCTATAATTAGGACTCAAAGCAATTCAAAGTACTCTCACCACCTAAAAGTATTTAAGTGTTGGTAGTTTAGCTAAGTTTACCAAATAAAATTGACTTTAAGAACTAAATTTCTCTTTTCCTAGCCTTGTAACCTTCACTTTTACCCCTCAGTTCTTGGGTTTGATGGTAACACCCCCATGATTATGCCCAAGACTACTGGCCTACAGGAATTTCAAACAGTTGGAGAGTCTGAATCTTGCCAAAACAACACCTCACTCCTATAAATAGACATTTTCCTTTAGTTAGTACCTAACTAAAAGTTATCTGACGATTGTTTTAAATGAGTTCATCTTTACCTTCTAAAAATGATTATGTTACTGTATTTATTCCTGAAGAGTTTGAAGCTGACATGTTTTAAACATGTCAAGGGCATAAATAATGTCCAAATTAATATTCTGACTTGAAATCATGCCTGGATACTCTTGCTACTCCAGCAAAATAAAGTTCTATGCTAGCCTCATTGCTTGCTCTGGGATTCCAAGAACAGAGGTGAAAAAACAAACAGCTCATCATTTATTGTTTATATCAAAAGGATAGATAATTACATAATCTAACACAGTACTTGTCATTATTTCCAGATGACATATATTTCATGTATATTTGTTACTGTGTTTCAGTAAAAGTCTTCATTATCATCGAGAACCTTCAGCATGAATGTGGAAGCTCTTTAACTTTTTTGAAGATTTTGAGTGCTTTTCCATTTTATTTCTCAGCTGCATATTGTGGAATAAAATGATGTTATTTCTGGGCTGTAAGTGTGTCAAGTTAAACAGCAAAACAAGTTTATCAAGTAAAATAAGGTATTTTTCATGAAATTCTGGTTCAAATTGAACCAGAAGATATGATCCCATTAACTTACATGACTTATACAAAGAATAATAGCAATTATTAGAATTGGATTGAGTTGTTGAAATGTTATTATCCTTTGATTATGTCACCGTAAGTAAAATTAACCACATCCTAGAGAGCTCAAATATCTGACTTTGAAAAGAATGATCGTCATTTAAATAATAAGAATAATCATCATTTAAATTTTTCACTATTTTATCAATTTTGATTCTAACAGCAAAATTAAAATATAAAATAAAATATTTTTCAATACTCCACATTTAAGGAACTTTGTGAATGTTGATAGTATTGTAGACTAACAAAATGCTAATTGTTACTCCTTTACAGAAAGATAAAAAAGAGAGATTTTAATTTTTTAATCTCGTGTCACATAGCACAGAGTTAAGTAATTCCTTTCATTTTCTATAGCAATGTAATTTCATTTACTTTTTAATTGAATTTATATATCATAAAATCAAAATATAAGAATGTTTTCTATAGACTATTTCAACTATAATTACAGATAGTATGATAGTATATTAAATAATTTATCTTCTTAGTCCCTAAGATGTAATAAGCATTGCAATTTTATGAATATGCTTTTTTTGAGGAAGCTGAAGGGCCCAAATTTTTCCCTATAAACTATAAACTGACTGATAAAGTTTTATGTTGAATAAGTTGTGCTTTCTAAAAAATTACTTTACTGAAATATATTTAATGACCAAAATCCCTTTTCTTCATGGCAATTTTATATTTATTGTCCTTTTCAAACTCTGCCATTTATTCAGGTGAATCTACAAATTTAAAAAATCTACTCAAGTTACAATTAATAGTGTATAAAACTGGAACCTATTTTTGCAGATAAAACCAAAATTGAGAAATAATTTGTCTTCTAAAACTCATCCAAAAAGAAAAACTGTAATTGGAACATGCAGGGTAATCAAAGTAACTATAATTCGCAAAGATTCACAAACTCATCAAGTCCAGGATCAAAGATGTATCAACTTTGGTGAACATATGAACACGCTGAAATCATTTGAAATTTTTCTGTTGGGCCTATATATATTTTTCTAGATCTGTCTCATTCATATTATTTAAAAAAACCTGTGCTAAAAATTATTTTTGAATAAGTCTAAGAGTCAATAATATACTTCCAAACAAAAAGTGATTATTTGGGAAATGCTGATTTAAGACATTGAAACTTGCTTAAAAATACTTAAATGCTATAGTTATGAGTAGTTTAGTACCATTCAATCTGAACACAAAACTTTTGTAAATGTACTTAAAATGTTTTCATGAGTTTATATAAAAAATGAATTTGTTCTCATCTCAAAATTCCTTGAATCTTTCACATGTCTCTCCATGTAGCTAGAAATTAACATAAATTTGAAATTTTAAATGATTGTGTATGGAGGGAAAATAGTACTATTAAACTGTCTAATATCAAGTTTTCCTTGTAAAATATGATTGCAAGTGGGAGATAATAATGTAAAATTTTATATTACTAAATATGTCAAAGTAAAAAGATCATAAGCTTTTTTTAAAACAAGTTTACCTAATACATGAGTGGACTGGACAGTTAAGTCCATCTGGTCAATCATAACATGCCACCACATTTTATGAATAGAGAAATTAAAATCTCTGCTTCCTTGCTGTATGGCAACACACGAGCTGAGATGAGCCACATCCTCACCTCTGCATCTTTCAGGAGCAATGACAGTGATAATGACCTTGCATCTGGAAGTTGTCAGGTGGAATGAAGTGTATGAATGAAATACTTATAATACCTTAGCTATCAATAACAGCAAAAAATTTCATTCTTTAAACAATTACATTTTAAGAAATAACTTCACTGATAGTGCAAAATCAAATACAGGAAACAAAATAACACAGAGATTAGAAAGCGATAAAAGATGGAAAGCTAACTTAGGCAATCAAGTCATATTCAGACTACACAAAAACAACTTAATAGTAAGCTAGATCTCACATTATTATATCAAGTAAGGTGGTTTGATATCTGAAAAATTTTAAATGCAATACTAGTCTCTGCTTGTAGTATTTTAGACCTCAGAGGACTAAGAATTTAGTATTTTTCGTTCATCTAGAAGTAATGTGGCAAAACACTAAGAACCTAGGAATGACAATCAAAAAAATCTAAACCAGTACTACAGTTCTAGACAAATCACCATTCATCAGCTCATCAATGCTCCCTCAATCAATCTTCATATGTCCCTCTAAGGTTTTTATTGGAAAAGAGAGGAGATTGCTCAGGAACTTCTGCTATTGTGCACTCTTATTTTACTTGCATATTGTTAAGGTACTT